AAGGTGATATATGAAAAGGAATAAAATGAAATAAAATAAAGTTACGAAAATATACTGGAAGAAAGAAACAGATGGACAACATAAAAAATGAATTAGAAAAAAAATTCAAAGAAAAATCAGATAAAACGAAGACGATAACAGCAAAAGAAGATAAAATTCAGAAATGAACAGAAACATGAGAATAAGAGAAAATCAGGAAGAAGAACGTGAAGTAGAAAAAGGTAATTGAAAAAGATAAACTAAAACCAAGAAGAATATACAAAAAGAAAAATGAAAGAATGTTTCAGTGTTCTGAATAAACATAATAAAGAAATTATTATTCTGATTTTGACTATTTTGGCCTGTTACTTAAGATTATGACATCTTCGTTCCTGTAGTGGCTTTTAACATTTGCATTCATTATTTTACGTAGTTCATGACGTAATTGTATACTTATAACTTTCCAGGTTTCCGTGCTATTCGACACAGATATAGACACAAGCCAACCAGATGCATATTTCCTCGCACTAACCCTAAGGCAATGTACATATCGACCATGTAAAAAACACAACGACAAACCAATTTACATATACAAATATTCCAACCCGTCGCCCACAATAATCAAACAGATCCTATAATCTATTAATCGCAGATTATCTGTACATCCTCCTAATGAATCCATCTTCAACGAAACCAGAAGATTATGAAACAGCGCTAAAAGATAGTCTATATCCGTCAACACTAACAAATCCACCATCCAAGTCTTAATCCACCGTAGAAAAACACATAAACACAAGAGTACGCAAAATATTCTTAAAACTCATACACAAACACTTCCATGAAAAAAGCTGCAAAAGACATTCAACAGAAACAGGGTAGGATCAGCTACATCGATATCAGGAAACAAATATTATGAAAGCAGAACAGAAAAGTAAAGAACAAACCACCTACACAAATCAAATCAACCTGTAACTGCAGAGTAAAGGACGAATGTCCGTTAAATGGCAACTGCTTGCAAAAGAATACAGTATACCATGCCACTGTCAAAGCAACGGATATCAAAGACAGAATGCATATAGGGATGACTGAAGGAAACAGAGAAACTACGCACAGAAAACCTCCTTCACAAATTGTCAATACGCAAACAGCACAATTCTTTCTAAACATCTATGGGAAATTAAAACAAACGCAAAATTACACCGAAAAATATCATGGAAAATATGGAAAACAGCATCAGCCTACAAGAATAAATCCAAAGACAACAGAACTTATTTCAAAATACAGAAAGGAAAACAAAATTTTACTACGTTATTTAGACAATTTCAGTACTTAAAACAAAACAAATAAGATAACAAAGACCCGAAAAATTATGCAAAAAAATGTAATTAAATAAATACAGAAATTAAGTAAATAATAAACAAATTACTAAAGTAAGAATGCACGCATAAGCACAAGTAATAATAATAATAATAACAATGATAATAGTAAACATAAAACATAAAAAGTAATCAATAAACAAATGATAAAAATTTTAAATATCTACAAATAAACGTATTTGGATCCATTATACATGTATTGCTGGTAAATTTTTTAAAAACATGTATTGCTGGTAATAAGTTTTTTCTTCCAAAATTCATTGCTGGTAATATTTTTTTACAAAAAAGTATTGCTGGTATTAAAACCTATTTTTACACTTTAATAATATTTGACCCCAGTTTGGGGGTTAACTATATACACATAGGTGTGACCTTAACAGGTGTTACCAGCCCTTGGTTTGGTGGGACCTGGGAACACCAGCAATTAAGAGATGGTCCTACGCTCCTCAAAGCCTTCTAATCAAAGGTCTTGCAGTCGGATATAGTTTATCGTCTTACCCAGGACGTGGACATAGTTTATCGTCATACCCAGGACGACCCACATATATATATATATATATATATATATATATATATATATATATATATATATATATATATATGTAAGTGCCAAGAATTGTGGAATATCTAATGTATACATGAATAGACATGAAGTCATTAAAAGGGTTATAGTAAGCTAATATAGGAGAAGGAAAACGCGGAGAAAACGGGAAAGAGAGATGGTAGGAACAGTAGTAATGGTACTATTAACGAAAATTGCCCCTTGGCGCCATTTGTTCCATGCGGGCGACTAAAATAAAGTGCGCTTGTGCGTGTAGCGGCCATTTGGTACGCAAGCGCAACGTGTATGGGGAGGGGATATAGTTATAAACGTGGAACTGTTGCTGAACGGTTGTGGGGAGCGTGGGGTATTTATGCGTGTTCACATCTCTTTGTCCGAGACTCGCTATTCTGACTACTTGTTAGCGTGCATGTCGTAATCTGTAAGATCGTTTGCTGAGGAAAATAGCGGGTCGGGTGAGGGAGCTAATTTAGGATACGAGGTTTATGAACGTTGAACAAGGTCTGACAGATAGACAGACAGACAGACAAACACACCGGTTGATATGAATAAAGATATATGAACAGAGTGTGACAGATATATATAGCGATATATAAACTGATTAACGATGGTTGATAGATATTAAAAGATTAAGAAGGATTGATATATACATGGATTGCTAGATGCCTACAGACACAGACGGATATATAGATATATGCGTACTTACAGTGGGAGGAAACAAATATTCGTACACATGCAATTTTTTAATTTATTCTATGTCCGACTAATGAATAAACATACTTATCATATAATTAACTGTATGTAGATGCATAATAACTAAATATGCATAGAAAACAGAAAAATAATTAATTTAATTGAAATAAATCCCATTTATCCATTTTCATGTATGAAAAAAAGTATTCGTACTATGCAAATTTCAGATTTTAAAACTTCTAAATTGCTTTAATACTCTAGATTATTCAAGTGGAATATTCTAGAAAGTTCCAATAATGTTATCCGTAGTAGTTAGTTTACCTTAAAACTACGAATATGCATTCTGTAATTCATACAAGAAGGTTATCATCATGGCAAGCGGTAAAAAAGTGAGAAATTCGCCAAAAAAAACAAAAAAACAAAAGAAAAATGCGTGTTATGCTCTGGAAAGAAGGTAAAAGTCACAGGAAAATTTCAGACAACCTGAATATTCCATTTACTGCTATTAATTCATTTATTGCAAGGTATAAATAACTCAAAACTGTTGAAAATCAAAGAACAAGTGCTTCACGGAAGATTTCTCCAAGATCTTCGATAAAATTAATGCCTCAAATTCTCAAAATCCACTGCTTACTCGTTAAAAGCTGCAGGATGATTTGCTTTCATCAAGAATCTGTGTCACTAAACAGACAATAAGGAATGAAATTCATAGGAACAATCTAAAGTCACGATCCCCTCTGAAAACTCCACTGCCATTAAAAAGACACAGAGATGCCGGGTTGAAATTCTTTCGTGAACATAAAGATTAGTAAAAATCGTATAGGGAAAGAGAATGATCGAAATCAAAACTGATATGTTTGGACGTAATTCTAGAAATCATGTATGGAAGAAAGATGGCGATGCCTGTAAACAACGAATATTTTGGTATTTTCTATAGTCTTGAGAAGGATCATTAATATTCAAATAGCTGTTCAGACGTAATAACATTTTTAAGGATATAAATCAGATCAGGGAAGACGAGGAACAACAAAATATATTCGCTGAATTTGTATTAGTTTGTATTCGTATATATTCTTTTTTTTAATTTTATAATTATAATCATTTAACAACACTTAACAACACTAAGTTTCAACAGCGAAATTTGATTGTGACAGAATCATGGCTTGGGGATGTTTTTTTTTTTTTTTGCAGCGGGTACTGGCAACATATCAGTAATAGATAGTAGAATGAATGCCGCAACATATCGAAATATTTTGGAAGCAAATTTAATGGTTTAGGTTGAAAACTTGATCTTACTCTTGATTGGATCTTCCAACAAGATAATGATTCTAAGCACACTGAAGAAATGGCTTGTTGAAAATAATGTAAATATCCTGAAATGGCCAAGTCATTCCCCAGATTTAAACCCAATCGAGGATCGGTGGCGTTATTTGAAAATTCAAATCTAATCGAGAGCTTTAACAAACATCCTGGATCTGAAGACCATATGCGATGAAGAAGAAATAAAATACCAACTAAAATTTGCAAGTAATTAAATGAGAACTACAAGAAGAAGTCAGTTGCTGTAGAACTGAATAATGTCTATTCTACAAAGTATTAAATGAAGATTATCTGTTCATTTTTGTATTTTGCGAATAGTTTTTCACTCATTAAAATGAATAAACGTAATTTATATCTATTATATCATTTTTCTCTGTTTTGTATGCATATTTAGTTTGTGACACTATTTAGCGTTTGCGTGAAAATTAGAAGCGAGACATACTTAAGGCGAGAAGAAGCTATCACGAAAGACATACTGAGCGATGTTATTTTTTTTAACAAAGAAAAGTGGTAAAGATTTTATTTTCATTTGCTAAAAAAGTATTTTTTTTTTTAGCAGAAGATAGGAAATTCGTAAGATCTCGGATCTGTCGGAATTAATTTATGCCATGACGCGGCAAATAAAAGATAGCAATTTGCCCATGGCAATAAAGAAAATTTCAAATTGGTCAAGTGGCTTACAAAGCAGAATGCTAAAAGATAATCAGATTTAGGTCGAGCACCGACCGAGAAAAAGATCATCTGAGACCACCCCAAAGAAAAAGGAAGGGAAAAGCGAAAAAGGAAAAGAATAAACCATTAACTATCTTTCGGAGATATCATTTTGTTTTTGGGAAGAAACACCTGTTTTATGTCCAGACCTGGACATGATAAAAGTTTGTTACCTGAACAGACTGTTGGCGACTGGGTGCGAAGCCGTTCAGTTGACCACCCAGTTAATCACTTGGCGAAAATCTCGTTGATGAATTCCAGATGACATTCAATTAAGATAGAGATTAAGGACAACACTAAAAAAGGAAGATAATTTTTTTTCTTTGAGCGATAATTGTAAGCTGAGGCCAGACTGGCCG